GTACATACGAAACGAGCCCCGAGGATGTAACGGCTCGTGATAATTTAATGTCGACGAACTTGAAAAAAAAAAATCTCGAAAACGTATCCGAACGATCAAATATAAGACTGTAATAATTGCATAAAAAAATTACGTTAACCTCAGACCTACAATAACCTTCAGCGGATCGTGTCGTAACTATAAAACTGGTGATTACGTGAAGTTTATCGATCGATCAATCAGTAACGACGCGGTTCCACGGATTTCATCGTGCACAAACTATGTAAAATAGAATTCAGTGAAACGTCGAAGTTCTGTATGCAACAAGATTACTTGGAGAATTTCAGATATTATCGTAAATGCCTTTCGAGGCTTTAGTCGGCAAAGGAAACGGCTTCTTCCGCGAAAAAACCTTAAGATCAACGATTTAAGTACCCTGTTCAATTCCCTCGGGAATGAATAGAGAAGGAGCAACATTCTTCTTCAGGGCGATTATTAGCAATTATCGGCGAACTTTGAGAAATTTGTAGAAAGCTTCACGGCCATCCGTCTTCGTTCCTTCATTCAGAATTCCCCTAGTTTTTCTCGTCGGATCGTGAACACGACGAAATGTCATTACCACAGAGCAGGGACGATCTATCCAGGGCTGGATTAAAACTTTTAGATGCCCCAAGCTCCTAACAGACTTTGGTACTCCCATAGATACAGTCGCTGGCAAAAGTTTCCGACCAACCAGTAAAAGAGAACAGGTTATCTTTATGCTAGAAAATTTGTAATATCCTCAAATCTGAAAAAAAAACTTCTCAATATGGGTATATCAAAAGTTTATTCGTATTGTATATTTTTTTAAAAGACACGTTGAAATTGGTTCATGGTGAATCTGGCAATAGAAAATTTCTGTTCCGTTCCCCTTTCCATGGTGCTTTAAACACGTGCTTATTTTACTTAATGGTTAATCCAGCCCTGGATCTATCCTTCGCAGTTTTAACGCTATCATAGACACACAGAGAGTTGGCTTCGTGTAAGTGGACAGGGACGATCGAGCTACAAGGCAAAAGAAATGAAGTCTCGACTGAAATGCGCAACTTTGCTCGCCGCGAGACACCTGGATAGTTCTTGCTTACGAAATACTGCGAATGCCCGGCACGCTCGCCGTTGGAATCGAGCGAATGTTATTACCGGGAACCGACAATATTTTTACTTCAATCCGCGGCGTTTGTCAAAGATAATTTTCGCGGGACGAGAGACTGGGGAGAATCTTCTTTGAAACGGCTTAGATACCTCCACGGTTCGCAAAACTTTCACGATGGACGAAACAGTGCTTTTATTCGCTTGAATCCTCTTTAAGATAATTTTCCCTGATTTAAGATAATTTTTTTCATTCTTCTGAAAACAGAACTCGGGTCGGCTCCGACCCCACCTTACAACATCTGTATACTTTCTTGCATATTATAGAAAACTCTAAGGTTCACAATCTTTTAACCTTTAAAGGACAGGTGGGTTTATTCATCACTTTTATATATTTTCGTGTTAGAACTTTGGTATATTTGTTATAATGTTGTACTACGAAAAATAAGCGAACCACTGGAGCCTAAAAATAAGTTTCCCGTCCTCTAGGGGTTGTTGCGCGTTGAATGTGATTATATCAATCGTCTGGCGAGGGGTTGGTAGATTTGAATTTCGTATTTCGAATTATCAGCCAGGAATCGCGGAGTGAAGAATTTATCTGGTTAACGAGCAATTCATGCATCACTAGCGTGTACCGACGATTACGTTCAATTGGCAACAAAAAAAAAATGGAGAGAGACGAAACTAGGCGCGCGCGCGCGGCTTTTCGTCCGGATACCACGGGAAACTATGGGGATTCCTGAAGCCACCAACCACCGTCGGTGAGTCGGTTAATAGAGGCCCCGTGGAACAACGTGGCTAGGATAAATGAACTTGTTCATTGTTCGCCATAACGCATAGACTCAATAGCGAATCGCAATGCGCAACCAAGCGCGTCGGTTCAAATCCCCACGTGTTGCCAAGGGACGCGTTCGGGATCGTTTCGGATTCGCAACCGTGTGTGCGTTTTGCGCGGATTGCGAAACGTTGTCTTAATCCCAATGACCAATCGTCAACAGAATTCGTAGCGGAATTAAGTTTATTTTCTAACGATCAGTATATCACGGTAGACATTTTCATGCAACTTTTTCTATTCGGTCGTGTACATGTGAATTGAGGAAAACGGTGTAAACGTGAAGGTAAACTGATCGCCGAATCTTCTTGAAATTAATTAATTAATTATTAATTTATTAAACTAGAATAGTATATTGTATACTTCTATTGTAGGAGATTTTATGATTCGTATACTATAAATTTTTCTTGTAGCAGTTTTTTTTATAATGGCCGTAGTTTTGGCGGTTCATCAAGTTTATCGGATCGTGTTGTACGTATGGATAAAAATTAGTGAAATATCTTGTCAAACGGTGTCGGACTGTTTGTTGAATTCATTGAATTGTCACTGTTTGTTAACAATTATAGATTCTGTCGTTTTTAGTTAATTTAATATTTTTATCCGACACGCCTGCACAGGCAATTGAATATGTGGCGCCATCTACGGCGACATGCCTAAGCTACTAACCAAATAATACTATCTCTAGTAGTCTAATAATCTCCGCACTGTTAATCACCTTTCCGGTGTTGTTCATTAGTAAGGGTCAACGTCCGATCTAGCATCTCGATCGTTGAAAATTTTCCTCGTTCCCGAAAAATGTACACCAAAAATAGCCTTGTCTAAAGACCAGTACTTAATTGTACTTAAATTCAAATTGAACATTTTCCAATGAGAATGAGATTATTTTAGTCTAACGATTATGCAATTATTGAAGAGCACCTTCCGAGTGTCGCGTTTTTCCAGCAAACCAGAAGCCTTGAAGCATCGCGTTTTTTTTCGCCTCAATTCAGTTGAGCAGAGGTGTTGCTCCTTTAGAATAATACATGCATCGGTCGATGCAAGCCGGAACGACTCAAGCATAGAAATCACACCGCCGATCTGGCGCCTGGTCATCGAGAATATGTCAGATCGAATTGTTCCGCGGCGCATACAAATCGTACGGATCGTGACAACTCGTGATCAAAGTAATAGTTCTTTTCTATCCACTTCGTCGTCCTATTATATCAATTTCATTAATTTCACGTTCCCTTTATCGAACATATCAATTAATTGCACTGTTCGAATGGTACAACGATTAATAGGATATTTCTCGTGATACTTTTATAGGAAGAAATATACATATTGTAAAGCAAGAAAAGACACCAAGGTTTTCTGTAAAAATGCATATTTGCTTTTATTGAAAAAAAAAAGTATCTCCGTGTACGCATGTCGGTGGTGTGTATCGGACATAAATCGATCGAGAAGTGTACACTCCTCAAGCCCATGATCGCGATCGTGGCGATACTTTAAGGGCGCGTAGTTCCAGGAGAACCTTCGGCCACGTAACGCAATGTCGCGATCCCATGACCAAATATATCGAAGGCCGATCCAACCAACCAGCCCTTCGACAGGAAAATTCGTTCCTACTATATTTATAGATATACATATACATACATACACTTTTGTTTTTATTTATAATATAATATATACCTACGGCTCGTCTGTGTCCCGAGCACAAACGCGTCACCCATCCCTCGTACATTGTACCCAAGGTGTGTCCCCCCATAATTCGTCTCCCAGCGTGGAAGAATCACTATATCGTTACATGCTTGTCTACTATATTAAAAATATGAAGTCGACTAGGCGCCGACACGACGACACGACGGACAATAACGACATTCGTCCTTATCCCCCTCCCCTCATCTATAATCTCCTAAATGCCGTACCACGGCGGCTGACTGCTCGTCTTTGTCATCTTATCTTTTCTCGCGTCTTTGCAACGATTGTATAATTTGGTGGACAAGATATAGCAAACTGATCAAATTAACCGCCCCCTCCCCTCACCCATGGACCTCCATCTTGTTATAGGAACACTATTTTTTTACAATGAACCGAATGAATGCTAAAGGGTTGAGACATTTACAATCTCAAATTTTTATAGAAAGTCCTAAAGGCAGCGATACACTTCTACAATCGCTTAGAAAAATTTTACAACGTCACTATACCTTGTCTATCAATTATAATCTTTTATAATCATACAATTTCACGCGTTTTACTTTTTCCAACGACTGTAACCGTGTAGGAGCCACCGCGTCGTCAGATTCCGGAAACGGGAACCGCGTTCCCAGTCCCAGTCACGTGTTCATTCGCGTCGGCTGTGGCAGTAGTGTTACATTTGTCGTTTGTCGGGCGATTGGCTCGATGCAAAAATAGCAGAATTTTCTTACGAGCTATAAAAGAAAGCCAAGTGGAATGAAATTACTTTTTCTTGTTTCATCTGACTCGATATTCCCTCCGGAAGTTCGCAGGATACATGTGATTCCACGTAATACGGTTCGAAGTAAATTAACAGAGAAAGAGGGAGAGACAAAAAAAGATACTCAAGCATAAGTGGGATGTATCGATGAGACCTTTGCCGAGTAACAAAATGCTTGACGTGTGCCGGAGCCAATGATAAATGGTTTTGTTGGTAAATAACTAAATGACCAAAGTTTTTTTTTTCTTGTGAACAGTGTATTGGTTTGGTATACATGCGCACCTTACCAACTATGCTACATCCTTGAAAATCTCACTTGCATATCAAAGAGTGTAACTATCATTAAATGTTAACATTGTACAATTCATAAAGTACTAACAGTCTCTCACTGCAAAACTATACATCATTGGCGGTGTAGTGTTTCCTCTATCGGTCAGCTAAAGCTGATTAAAAAAATCGCCATTAGGATGGGAACCCTCTTCCACCCTCCAAAATTCACTCATTCATCATGTGTGCACCAACCGCTACCATGGAGTTATGAAGGATTCCGCGCACAAAGTGTCGGCTCCCTGACGCTTAAATTAAAATTGCCAGACAAATTCCGAATACGAATCATATAATATTATTGTCCGATCGTGTGAGAAACGTGTCTGGGCCTGTGTGTAAGCTCTCAGCCTGGCTCGCCGTCCCTTTACAAAACACAGAAACTCCTATTAATTCCGCATCAAGCCAACACGCGATTGAAGAAATCGTGCGTATCCTCCTAATGTCAAGGGTCGTGCGTTTGAAGTCAATTCGCGGCGATGATCGCGGCAGCCGCCGATGACGAGGGCGACGACGACGATGATGATTTCTTTTTCAGCACGATGTCCTTGATATTCAGGTTGACCTTCTCCTTGCGGGGTGGCGGCACCGATTGCAGGCAAAACCTCTTGAAGGCCTCCAGTTCCCGTTCAGCGTCGTCCATCTCCCCGTCCTCGAGGTCTATATCTTTGGGCGTGAATACGCTCTCTGTAAAAGACCAGCTCTGAATACACTAGAGGTCAGGGGGTCCACCTGGTGGAAGGGTGTTCTTTTGTTATTTTCTGTCTCGGGGATTGAAACTTGCTGTGCATAGATTTCTGATTCCCGAGTGTTCTTTTTTTCTTGCTTAACCTTTTTTTTCTTAGCCGCGGGTACTGCCTGAGTATGGGTCTAACAAGGAACGAAAGATAAAAAAAGAAGGAAACAAAATGTACACAGGGTGTCCCATTTAAATCGACCCACTGGAATATCTAAAGTATTGACGATATTAAACAATGTTTCAGACAAAAGGTAAATGATATCAGGGGGCACACTTTTTGATCTGAGTAACTTTATTCTGTGTGGGCGCGTAGACGTCATATGAACGTCAATTTTGTGTTTTCAAATGGAATCGTATATTTTTTAATCCACTACTTGATGCTACTAGTTATTCCCTATATAAAGTATTAGGTCACTTATGGCAAATCAGTGATGTATTAAAATGTATGATTCCATTTTAAAAAAACCTTCATATCACATCTACGCGTCCACATAGAAATAAGTTAATCACATTAGAAAGTATGCCCCGTGGTACCATTTAATTTTTGTCTGAAACAGATTTTTTCATATCGTCAATAGTTTCGGAGATATTGAAGTGGGTCGATTTAAACGGGACACCCGATATAATAGAGCACAAAACGGCTAATGAACAAAAATTCAAAAGAGGGAAACTTTTGAATGGACAAGAGAAAGGTAACAGATTCGGCGTGATAAGTGTGTGTGAGAAAGAGAGCGAGAGAAACAGAGATTCACTCGGTCTATCCATACGCATGCAGCATTTCTGGGGTGACAACAGTAACCGACGGGGGGAAAAAGAGAATGTATAAAAATGTAAAAAACATAAATCTCTTTTATTGAAACACGTCATCAGCAGATTAAAAAAAATAGAACATTAAATCTAGTCTATTCCGTAAGTACGTGATATCGCCTACTTTTTTCGATCGATTATATAATATCACAATGAAAGTTCAGGTAGCAGACAGATTAGCAGGCCTGTCCAATGGTAAATTGTACTTGGCAAAGAGTTGTGGGCTCCCTCAAGTGACCTACGTATCTTTTCTTTATCTGTCCTTTCTCTTTCCACAGTCGACTGTGAGCACGGACCGATATAATAAAGTTAATTGAGCAGCGGCGCGCTCGATCGACGTGTCTAAGAAGATCTAGAATAAGCGGTCACTAACTGTCATGCTTCCGTCGAGTGTTCCGCGTGCTTACGACCATCGTTAATTTGCAAGAAGGGAGTACTTAACAAGAAACAAAAAGGTAGCCAGAGAAAACGGGGACAGATAACTGAGAGATCCCTAAATTTTAAAGAGAGGCTACAAGCTAACTTAAGTCCAAGATATGTATATGTACAGAATGTAACGCAACAAATGTATCGTATCAACATTTTGGGCGTTGTTTCTCCATACTGTTAATTTCTGATACAATTATTATGTTACACTCTGTGTGTAGGGTGTTTTAAACAGGCGTCACAAAATGTACCAGATAATATACCTATACAAATGTACAGATGTGTTAGTCGAAACTAACCAAAAAATCTAGTAAATATGGCTTCTGTGTTCGAAATCAATCTAATGCTTGTTGGTCAAAAGGACCGTGATCGGTTCCAAGGACTATTATTGACTAGACCTTTTCTTGTTAGTTATACAATGGTAGAATATCTGTGTAAATACTATGACGCAAGTTCGAAATCACCATTATATGCATGTACGCCATATATGGTAAAAAAAAAGGCTATATAGATTGCATCTGACAGAAAAGTCACCTGTATCATCCAACAAAACGAGTCGCCGGCACGCGTGAACATTGGAAAAGAAAATAAAGAAAAGATAGTGCTCACTGGCCAGAGTCTCTTCCGGACCGATCCCCCGAGAATATTCGTGGCGGCCGATTTTCAGAACATCCCGAGTGTGTGTATCCTGTATTCGAATTAATCATTTGATCTAGCCTCGTCCTAACGCGGTACACAGCCCTCTCCTAACGAAACGAAACGAAAGAAAAACCGTCGTCAGTACGTTCCAACCTAACTCGTTCAGGTGTCTGGAGACTCAAATACTGAATGTGTGTTGTCCATTTATTCTGTGTGTGTGTGTGTGTGTGTACTTGTGTATATAATGTGTGTGTTTCTCTTTAAACATGAATCAATCTAGAACAGAAAAAAAAACAATAATTCTAACGCCGGGTGCGAAAGATAAGCAACCCATATATGTCTGCTGTGTGTATGTGTGTGTGGTGTATGTAACGTGTTAAGGAAACAAAAACAAAAAATGAAAGAAGCAAATTTACATGTTAAACTCTGATTATTGTTGTTTCTCACCAACGAGGTTCCAGTCATCGCCGCACTGTCTCGTGCCGGTTCCGCGTTTTTTCTTTTTCTTGCTCTTCCCGGTACTCGAGGCCGCTATCGAAGCGTTTATCGCTTCACGGACCGCTGTTTTCGCGCTCTGTACATCCTTCATGCTCGTCTCTGTTCTCACCTTCGTCAGGGTCACGCTGGTCCCCTTCAGGTTGATCCCATTCTCCGGTATCGGCTGACCATTCGTCACCTTACTGATCTGAATGTTCGCCAGATCGCTAAGGGTCGTGCAGTCCGGCGTCAGTCTGCTCCTGAGTTCCGCGAGACTCGACGGAATGATACCGTTGGTGTGCTTCAAATTCGTGCTTTCCGTCGACGTTCTGGCGGACAGATCACCCTTCACTATGTAATCGGGCTTCGGTGGCGATGTTAGGCCCGCGTTGATCGCTTGTTGAAGCGCAGGACTTCTAATCGTCACCATTCCGTTCTCGGATACTTTTATAATAGCCGCTTGTTGTGTCGGCGGCACTTTCATCGGACCGAACGCAGGATTCCTTATGGTCACCATGTTTGTGTTCGGATTGTGGAGTATTCTAGCCGGTTCGTCCGTGTGATCGTTTAGAAAGGGATCACTGTTTTGCACTGTTGTTGTCTGATTGCTTGTGTTGGCGAAGCTCGCGGCTGCACTTTTGTTCTTCTTCTTCTTCTTCCCTGTGGTGCTTGGAGTCTGTTGCGTTTCTTTAGGCACATCTGCGTGAAGACGATAACAACACAATGAGAATTACATGCATGGAGAAATTTCCATTAGAGATTTATGATTTTTACTCACCTTTTTCTACAGCTTTCGGAAGAAGATCTTGCTTCAATTTCCCAGTATCCACGACAATCACATTGCCACCTGCCTGGGGACTCGTGTAACTTGATTGAACGCTACTCATTGGAGCAGCGATTATTGTGGTTTGCTTGGGAGGAGTCACTGGCTTCGGTAACGGAGCTGATCTTATCGGCAATGGCTTCGCGGGCGCGTCAACCTTTGTTATTGTAATACCGGGCGGTAGTTTTAAATTCTCTATGTTGATCTTCGAATTTACACTAATATCCTTGAACTGATTGCTAAAGGGTGAATTAATACGCTCCGTGGATACTGGTTGAACCTCTAATCGCTGTTTGATTGTTGGCTGGGGCGGTGTCTTACATTGTAACTTCTGATTATCATTTTTTGTTTGTTTAGTCGCTGCGTTAATACTCGAATTTTTATTGTTCTTGTTTAACTGACTATTTTTATCCTGTTCCTGACCCTTTGACTTCTTGTTGTTCTCACTGGTTAGATTCTGCGATTGCTTTTGGGAGACAGGTGTCTGAGGTGGTGTATTCATTTTATTCTGCTTCTTGCTGGAGACATTCTGTTGCTGGCTTTTATTTTCTTTTCATCCTTTCCCTTAGTCTTTTCGTTGTTGTTCCCTTGTTGCTTTACGTTCTTATTGTCGGAAATTTTATGTTGCGTCTGTTGTTTCGAATTATTAATTTGCTGAGCCTTATTCGCTTGTTGTAACGAGTTATTGCTATTATTACTGTTATTATTTGCTTTGGTTTTCTTCTTCTTCCCACTGATATTCTGATTCTGTTCGTTTTCCAACTTGGGAAGAGAAACTTCCTTGGTCTGTCCATTTACCAATGTAAACAATACCTTATCCTCGGCCGGTGTTTGGCCCTTTAACGTGATTGTGACTGTTGGCTCTGCACTGTTCGACTCCATGACCCTTTTAATAGTAACCATCTGCGGCTGGCTCTCCGCTGGAACCGGTTTCTTCGCTTCCTTCGCCTTCGCCTCTTCCAGTTTCTTCATCTCTTTCTTCTGCTTCTTCCTCTCTTTCTTCGTTAACTTTTTTTCGTTCAAGTCCACGACCGTCGATTTCTCTGTACCGTTTGTACTACTTTTTACGTTCGTGCCATTGACACTCGTCAGTACCTTGTTATTTTTATTAATTACTTCGGCTTTGTCGGGTTTGCTAATTATCTTATGCGTCTGGCCAGTGACCACCGTCTTCTCCATTTTATTTGCGTTAATACTTTTGTTCTTTAGATTCGTATTCACAGATGCAGCCTTTGTTTTGCTATTTATACTAATGGTACTACTACTACTGCTGCTACAGCTACTGCTACTAGTGTTACTACTATTGCTACAAACTTCTGGCTTGTCTTTCTTTTTATTACTTAATTGCTTTACAGTCGGCAATGCTACTGGCGGTGACGTAGGTAAAATAGATACTTCGGGTAGATTACACTGAGGTAATAATCTCTGAGGAACGGGTTTCTGCGGATCTACGACTGTAATCGTCACTTCCGGCGTCTTTTTTTGCAATTCTATCAATTTCTGTCGTTCTGCCTCTTGCCTGTCTCTTTTCAATTTTTCCTCCACCTGTAACAAACCGAAGATTGAATTAAAGTTACAATAGTCATGCGCATTCCACTTCAATAGGATGATCCTAGATAGATTATCTTAACGAACCTTCCGCTGTTTTTGTCTGGCCTTCTTCTCCGCCTTCTTATTGTTGTCTTTTTTTCCATTCTGATTTCCTTCAATGAACTCCAGCAACTCCTCTAAATTCCTCTGGTCTCTTTGGTCCGGTTGGACAGTAGAGGCTATCGAAACTGGAGTATTTGATCTAGGCGCCGTATTAGACACTGTCTTCAGTTCCAGATTCGTACTAGACGACAACGACTCTGAAGAGCTTTTCGAAGGACTACAAGTAGCTTTACACTTCTCAGCTTTCTTCTTGGTTAGTAATTGTCTTAATCTTTCCCTCATCTCATTATAATTCCTACTAACCGGTGCTACAGAAGGCTACAAACGAGTATTAAATTATTATGAGTGAGGTTATGTTGAAATAACGAGATAAAGTCTACTTACAACTCCATGTCCAAATACTTCACAGTAACAACAGTCACAATGCCTACTCGAGTCTCTTTGTGCTGAACTACTAGTCGAACAGGAGTCCTCTTGACTACTTCCGGAATCGGAACAATCACCATCCCCGGAACTTACTGAAAGCAAAATGTACGTTACAATACGTTACAGTTGTAAAATCGTTTGAAACAGAAACATTCTGAAAATATATACTAACAATCGTTACACGACACTCTTTTGATGTGCTCGACGTTAGCTTGTTTGTGACACGCATGCGACGAATGACTGCTGTGTGTGTGAGATCTGTGAGAGGGGGCCGTATTTTTAACCAAGTCTGGAAGGGGTCCGTGCGTATGCGGAGGTTGAGTGGTACCTGTTCGATCCCAGAATAGAATTATAATTTGTTAAACAAAAATTAATTATCAGAATGAACACATCTGGTCTCGATCATATTTACCCTGGTGTATTGCATGATTGTGAGCGGTGTTCGGCGTCTGTGTGGTAGAATGCCTTGTCTGTGTTTGTGCGGACTGTGTAGAACCAGTTTTTACTGCAGGTTTACTTGGCTCCGGATTGGTCTTCACGGTAGAAGGTGATACTGACTTTGGATAATTGTTCGATACGGCCGTTTCAGGTACAGCTAATAATATTATTAGATTTTATAATAATGTTAATCTTACCGTAACAACGGATATAAATTTCTGTTTTGTTTTTCCATAATTACGTTTTGTCAGGCAAGGGCAGGTGTCCCACTTCCGTTTCGAATTCAATAAACACAGACACGGAGGATTTTCTAGAACTTCTACCTTCCGCTCAGTTATTTCCCTAACATGCTGATACACGCACGCACATGGTTGTGGTTCGATTCTCAAATCGGTATCCTCCCGAACATCCCCCGCTTCGATTTCATCCACGTTTGCCTCTTGCGATTCCACGTGATCTATTTTTTTCGTCACCTGCGTCGCGGAACAATTCGCTGTGTCTTCTAAGAATGGAATTTGAATTAATCAACTAACGATTTAAGGCTAAATTATTAAAAATTATGCTACGAAGGTATGCTTTACCTAAAAAACCATTAATGTGTTGTGTCCTACACTTTCCTATACTTTCTGTGTCGCTTTTATTTACCTGCAAATTAATCTGGTTAATCGTTAATCAATTGTTTAAAATGTTATAGTGGAATACATTCGTCTTACGATCGGCGACACTGGAAATCCTGTACACGTGTGAAATTCGCAACACTTCCCCTCTTCTGTATTATTTTCTAAGCACCCATCTTCAGTATGAGTTCTATAAAATTAATTTACTTTTACTGTTTCACTGATAATGCATTAGTGGCTAATACTAATAGATAGGTTAATGAAATCTACTAAGTTCAATTCTATCCGCAAACTGATCCAAATGATAATTTACACTCGTCAAAGAAATCTGGATTATCGTACCCATTGGTGTAAGTAGCCGTTATCAACGCATCTGCTGTTTCGGCTACTTTAAAAAGTTGGTCACTGTTCAAATCATCTAATACGATTTGAACCATCTCGTCAAACGAAGGCATATTCAGCGAATCAGTCGGACTTAATGGTCTGCTGTCTATTCCAGGGATACTAAATGTTCCTTGTGCCACAAGCGTTGACAGATGTTCAATAAGTTCTTGTAAGTTGCTAAAATAAAGAAGGCTACAGTACTCATCTAAGGGTGTGTAACAAGCTTGTTTTATTTTATATATCGACATACTTTTCACTATCAAGCGGCTTGTTTGACATACGATGCTCTATAAATTTTCTAGGCACCGGAAATGATTCGCAAGGCTTCCGAATTTTCCTGAGCCTGGTCATATGAACTGCTTGTACTGCACTGAAATATGTAGTGTTTAACTCTGATCGTACATTGATCTCCTTGTATTTATTTAGGCCAATGAACGGTTTTATTTCTATTAATACGAAAACAATTTATCAAATTGCTTACTTAAATTTGTCCATCCATGGTTCAGTATCTGGCCACAGATCCCTAATTTTCGTCATCTTGTCATCAAATGCTAAATATCGATGAACGAGACCTTGATATTTCGTACCTTTCAAAGGCAAAAGTTTCCTTAACTATAAAAAAAAAATATTTATTCTTGATCTAGCTCAGATCACTGTTTCGTAATGTTCATTTATTTACCTGTATGATAAAGGTAGACAAATTATTGTGTACCAACGGGTCGTCGTATACATAGATCTGATATAACTTTTTAAAGAAACAGTCCCATGTAAACTTGCACAAGTAACCCTTCAAAGGTTTCAGTAATTCAGAAATTTGTGATGCCGTTGATATCAGTGCATCATAATCATCTAAGAGACCTGCACATAACATATATGTGTGTAAAGTCAACATATACAGTGACTCATAACAGTTTTCAAACTTATGTAATAGCATTTTAAGCTACCTGTAAGAAAAATTTCTGCTAAATTATTTTCACTATGATCATGTAGAAGAGCTAACAATCGAACTTTTACTTTTACAACAAATTGTCGCGCTTGACTCACTAGCCTCATAAATAACTGCTCAGAATCCAAATTGCGCAGTCTGAAAAGAAACACTCTGTGTTCAGGCCCAGTCGTATTGATCAGGAAAAATCGTGTACCAAAAACAATTTTTTTGAACCTACTGTAGAACAATCTCATGCATATTATCCATAGAAAGTGCATTCTGTTGCAACGATAAGCTTCCTGGAGTACGTTTATTAATAAGTTCACGCATGTACTGTAACAATTTCATCCACAAACTCTGGAATTTTACAAACTTTTGCAGCTCTTCTATGCAGAAATCTCTGTAATGAAAATCAACTTTGTTAGAGCTCCACCAAATCAATACAAATCATTCAGAAACAATGATAGTTACCGCTTTGCTTTATACATATCCCTTTGTACGTATCCAGGATCCCCTGCACCTTTGATGAAAGCATTGACTGCATTCTCATCTAGTGCTATATTCTAAAAGCAGAACAAATTCATAATATGATCATTTGGATTATGAGTATTCTCTTACTATTTTAGCAATATTTACTTGACTGATATTCCCAAGAATTTTGTATTTGAAACTGATGTAAACTGTATTGATTGAAGGAAGAGCAATAACGAAAAGAGATGCAAGTTACTACCAAACTACTACTTGCAATACTAAAAATTCTTTTAGATAACAAAGAATATAAGTTTTATATAACTTCGGAATATAAAGAATCCCAAATGTTATCAGAATTTACATATTCATCAGCTGTCACCGTCATGTGGAATATAAAAAAGCCTTATTCTTGGTGAAGTGCACATAATATGGCCACACAATCAACCAAGAACCAGACTACTTATGTCTCAATGGAAAAATTTTACAAAGTATATCAATGTATCTCTTACAATTGTTTTGTCTTATTCCAAACTATCCGTACAATGTAACAGAACAGATTGTGCCAGTTAAAAGAGTACTACTGACATTAATAACATTGAAAACAAATGATTTGGAAAACAGTAATCTATCGTGTCATGTTTACATTTTTAAAACTGTTTATTTCTACCTTCTATAGTGGCAATCAAATAAGAGATATTAAGGTGGCCTATTTCGAGCTGATGATTCTGTATATAAAATGTTCTCAGGGTTAGGTGTTAGTGTTCAAATACTCATAAACGGTAGTGTACACAATCGTGTATCCTGCGGCTCCGATAGGACCCGCTTTTGTTATCGATATAATACATTACGACCACGCTACATTGTTTCCATCGACTACAATGAATGCAACATTAATATACCGATCCTGTCACTCTTCCTTCAAAGAAATATCAATGGTTTACGATCGATGACTCTCGGTAGTATAATTACATTTGTGGGAGAACGTACCGCGTCAGGAACAAAGTCCGCGACGACAGGCGACCTGACAGCGTCGCTCTCGTAATCAGCGATCAGATCCGCGTCTAGTCGCGCGGAACCGTCGTCTGCATCGGTGCAGGCATCGAGAGGTGCATCGTCTGTGTGTTTCTTGGCGAGAACGTCACCCATGGCTACTACGTTGCTTTCTCTCGTCCTATTGCATTGACCGTCCTCGCCGTCGCTGCCGCTCATTCTATCACCGCGTGGTGCAACTGGTACACCAAGTGGATCGTTCGCGAGCACTCGAACCGGGCCACACGGCAATCGATACGCTTTTCCACGGGTTTTACTTGGAACCGCGTAAACACCTAGACCGCATTCAATCAATATTCGCTCAATATGGCGACTCGCGTGCTCATCCCGTGGTTCGGCGTCGTGACGTGAGGTGACGCGATCCGGCGTTTGCGTGGTCGCCGTGCCGACGCCGCGCGACCGTTACAGAACTCTTCTCTTATTAAAAGCGTCGCCAAAAATAAACGTTTCTTAATGACTCTGATACGATTCGTTCGGGAACGTACCGCGAAACTTCAATACGAAAGCAAACTTAATTTCATCCACTGAAACGATTATTTTTGGTTCTATATGCAAGCCGGCTCATTCGTTGTTTATATTGAATGATTAAAAGGTAACTGAACATGATAAATTGATTTACGAAACTTCCAAATTGAACGTGAATTACTGTGGTAATTATATTTCGGATTTATTCATTAATGCAAGGAAATAAGGTTAACAGAAAAATGAACTTCACGTTTCAGAAATAACATAGATGCGCCGAGGTACAACTAAAAGGATATCTTCCTATGAAGCGTGAAGGGACGTTCCATATAATTACCTTTGATCGATCTGAGGTAAATACTTCTTCCAATGATATACTTATTTATTTGCTGGATTTTCCTGAATCGATATTGCATATTAACAATTGTCTGTATGGTGTTTTCAAATTAATATTTAATTTTTTATGCGCCATAAATAGCGGATAAAATACATGTGGCGGCATCTACGATAAACCAACCAGGCTACTAGCCAATTAATATCATAATTTATGTTACGATGGCTCCACCGTCTTTTAGTTTCTTGTTTCAGTAAATAATTAAATATGCATGACAAGTTCATTGAATCTAAAGTATATATTGACGTGTCTTCTGCTTATAGTGTTCAACAACAGACACTGATTGTTACGTTTTTAATTAATATTTAACTTTTTGATAAAGTGTAGTCTGAAAAATGTGGTGGCGTCACATTGTGCGCATAATATGATACTAATTGACTAATAACTTTGGCCTTCTTCCATAGATGGCACCAAAGAAATTTATTTGACTAACGTGTAGTTCAACGTATTAAAATGTAATAACTAGATATTTCAGTTAATCTAACACGGGATTTTCACTTATAAAATCTTAGTTTATTTATTTCCTGTATAAAAGTGTTTTTTCGAATAAATAAAATACTTATTGCCTTAATGGTATACAATAATTGTCTCTTTGGTAACGGGGACTAGACAACGTAAAAAGAACGATCACATAGCAATATTACAATTGCTACCAAGGCACTGTTTCGTATTGATATTCCACTTTTTTTTAAAAATTCATCTTCAGCTTGAAAAACAAATTTGTGGAAGATTACTTTAACTTTAAGATTCTATCAATTTCAGATTCTAAATCTGAAACTTCAGATATTGATTCCACATGTAGAGTTTCAGAAATTTTATCCTTCAAGTTACGCGGTGCTGCCTGCGGTGATAAATCATTCGATAACTTGCAACTTAATGTTGACGCTTTAACTGGACCTTCTGACAGCGAACTTATACTTCTAGAACTCATTTGCTGGTTGTCATTATTCTCACTTTGTTTCTCCTGCACATACTTTGGAGCAAATATTGTTTGAACTGATCCTACAGGTTTTTGTCTCACCATACTCAACTGAAATGAAACATGTGATTTTAATATTACTCAAAGTTAAATTAATTTATAATTTACCTGTTCCTCAAGCTTTCTTGATATTTCTGCAATTTTATCACTTTGAGCAGTTTTCAATATTATGTTACTTGTATTCTTGTAATGTTCACTCTCTGACAAATGTTTTTTCTCATCAAAAGTACTAGATATAGAAACATTTATATTTTTATTTCTGTTATAATTATGTTAAAAAAATTTATACTCGTTTTTAATATAGGAGATGAATAATTTACATACCTTGAGATATTCCAGACTCTCTCATTTAATTCCTCTTTCTTGCTATTATAATTAAGTAATGTTCCTTCGTCCCTCTCATCTGCCAAGTCAAAAATAACTTTTTTCTTTACTAAACTACTTGTTGATCCATTTGCAGATTTCAATACACTTTTACTTTGTTTTGGAGATATTGAAATGTTTTGTGATTCTGGTTCCATTTCTAAATTTGCAGCATTTTCATTTTCTTGATTTTTACTGTCTGATGTCATTTCATGCCATTCAGGATCTAACAAAGTTTTCATTTTGCTCAAAGAATTGCGTGATTGTTGAATATTTTCTAAAGATTTTACTGAATTTGGAGACAGTTTTATTAAGCTTTCTATGTCTTTATAATTTGGAATCTTTCTAGATCTGACAAACGACGATCCGGTTTTATTTATGTCTTTACTTGTGGATTTAATTTCTGGAGAATATAATTTGTAGTGTGTTTCATCCCGCGTTTGTAATGTAGAAGTATTATTTCCTGAAAAACACCCAACATTTACTTTCTCAAGAACTTAACAAACTAAGATACAAAACATTAATTACCAGAATTTTTCATATCACTAAATGCTTTCCTTGGCATTGATTTAGTTTCGCTTTCCAAATTGTTTGAAGACATTTGTTTTATTTGTTTAAAATTCTTTAATACTTTTCCCTCTCGAGATAGTTCTTTAAGAACTTCGTCGATTATTTTTAACTTAGTCTCATGATATGTTGGTAATGTCTGAAATAAAATTAGTCAAATTTAGAAAATTATAGGAAGTTTCGTATTGTCGTTTCATTAAATATTTTTATTACTCTCATAGTAATTTTTTGATGATGTTTTAAAATGTCCATTTTTTGTTTAAATGTAACTTTAGGTATTCCTTGCCATTCTGGATCTATTCCTACATCTCTTAATTTCTGTTCAAATGCATCTATTAAATTCGTCCGTAACCTTTTATGCGATAAATTACGCTGTATTGTTTTCTTCGGTTTTATATGAAGTGATGGATATGTTTTATGTTCAGTTATTGGAGAATTGTTACCAATTACAGTAAGACTTTCTGACTCAGAGTGAGTGCATGAATCAGATGAGACTGACTCTGAATTTGTTTCAGAACTTGAATCACCTTTTAAAACCTCTGATTGTTTGCTATTCTTTACACTAGATAAATGTTTATTATATACATTTCTATCATCTACTTTGTTTGTATCAGATTCGTTCAATTCAGATCTTACAATTAACTGATTATGTGAGTCATGCTTAGCATGCCTTATTTCATAGTTAGTCCCTCTTTCAGGTACTGAATCTTCAGACTCTGTTACATTACTTGAACTAGAATCTTTCAAATCTTCACCCATGTCTTTTTTATTTTCAAATTTTTCATTTTTTGTCTTTGTGTCTGTTTGTTTAATACTTGTTTCAGCTTCATCTGTAACAACTTTGTTTGCAGGTTTCAAAGTGTGTACACTTCTTACAAATTTATGTTGCAATGTTGCTGGAAATATATTATTTGACAAGTGTGAACTGAATGTATTATCGACATTCCCCATAATTACTGGCTCTATTGTTGCATCTACATAATCCTTTTGATTCTGGTCACTTTTACCTGGTTCCTTCAAAATTTCAGTTGACTGAACTAACATTACAGATTGATTGTTTCTGGGTAACCTTTCAGAATTTTTATATTTTTCATGTAACTGTGAAACACTAATTTCGTGTGACAGAGAATGTAGGTGTTTACTTTGTTCCATTAACATGTTGGACTGACTTGCAGTTTGACGTTCCAAATCATTAACTTTAGATTCATAATTAGCTTTCATGTCATTGGCTGCTTTTTGTGTCTGTTTCAATTCTGTGGTGAGTTTCTCAATGTCTTTATGATGTTGATTTTCTAATTGTTCAATCTTAGATTTCCAATAATTCTCCTGTGCATATAAATTTGCTTGCATATTTTCTATGTCTGGAGTTAACTGTAAAAATAATAAATTAGTTATTTGAATAAATTTTACAAGATAAATAGCCACTTACCCTTTCAAATAACTGATTTCTTAATTTTTGAAATTCTTTTTCTTGCTGATTCATCAGTATTTGTACATTTATTTCTGATGTTCTTTCAGATAACATCTTCTCTTTTTGTCTCAGATTCTGTTAAAACAAAAAACATTTGCTCATCAAATTATACATAAAATTAAAAAATTTCTCTATCTTATGCTTACATGTATTTCATCCAATAACATAGTTTTCAGACTTCTTATTTCCTCTTGATATCCTTTGTACCCCTGATTTTCTTCCAGCTTATTAATATCACATTTAAAATTTTCAACTTCATTTTCTGACAACCTTCTATCATAAACTTGTGCTTTTTTCTCAGGAACTTTCTCAGATTCATTCCTTAAGACCCTTTCTGTCTCATTCAGTCTCTCCTTTAAGGTTTTTATTTCATTGTGCAATTTTTCTGTTTCACTATGGTGATGATCATGTATAGGGGAAGAACTCATGCATAAATCTGATACATATGCATGTCTACGTAAAACATGAGCACTTACAAACATTGATGACATGAAAGTTTTTGGGCAGTGGGGGCACTATAGAAAAAACAAGTATACTTCATATGTAAGTTTTAAGCAATTTTCATTACTATTATGATGAATGCTTTTCCTTCATCAGTCTACAAAAAACATTTTATCACCTTGAAAATTTCACCACTACCACCTCCAATTTTAGTTTCTATTAATTTGCTTCTATCCTTTGCCTTTTCCTTTAAATGCTTCACTACTTCCTCCAGAGTAGTAATTTCTTTTTTTAGTTTAACATTTTCTTCTATTTTTAGTCTTAATTCATCCTTTAATATTATTACACTATGATCTAAATATTCTTTGCAATACAATAAATACTCAACAGCCAATTGTGCAAGACGGAAAAGTTTTACAAAATTAGGGTCTAAAATTTTAACATCATATTCACGTTCCAAACAGTAATCTATTACACTGTTTATATTATCATCGATAACACAGAAATCTCTATCCCTTATAATTTGATCTATATCTATATTACCTAAAATTATATATTAAATCAACTGTAATTGTATGGTGAAGCAAGAATATTAAACAGTAATGTAAACATTGGAGATTACATACTTATACGGTACCAGTCTACACGTACTCTTGATTTGTGCATATTGAAATAAAAGCCTGACTCCCTAGCCAGCTTTGGAAAATCATGACACCACTTGGTGCCAAACCGGAATGAAAATGCCATATTTTTATTTATAAATTTCTTTAAATGTTCTTGTGCATTGTTTAAAGTTGCTTCGTTAGAACCACTGGTTACTCTAAAATACAAAATAACGAAACGCACGAAATGATTGTATTACGATCGACATCATTATTACTGTATCCACAGTAAAATAATTCCAGTCTACGAAGAAGGCAATAAATGATATAACCAGTTATTGTATTGAACATTTCGAGGTTAAAATAACTGATGTATGTAAACACTATTTAACAGGTGTGGTGTGATGCACTATAAGGGTGCTACCTACAATCCTATATAAACTTATATGTACGTATACGTATACATTTAGTTACAGAAATGACCAAGTTACTCTTTCACCCTCCTTTGGCCACCTAAAGGTCAATAACCGATTCAAATGGCCAGTCATAGAATATTCATAATGTCAGTAATTACATAATATGTACTGTGGGTCTATTTCATAGGCATAGATATAAGACTGCGCAGCCTGAAACGGTCGACCCAACTTTAGAAAGAGGTCTGCTTCGAAGGAAATAGCTTTCGAAGAAGTTGGCATCTCTTTTTAAATCTAATTGTAAATTGTAAGTGGAAGGGACTGAGGAGTGCAGATAAATAAGATTTAAGTTATTTATAAGGTTTATTGTGAAAGATGTATAGATGTACAACTTGTGATTCCATCTAACTGCCTTGGGCCTCCAACCGCAGCAACCTCCTCGTGGTGAGGCCTGGGCAATCGATATTATCATCGGTAAAGTACTGTAAA